CTTCTTGCGCATGTGTGTGTGTGTGTGTGTATGGTAGTGAAGATTAAATCCAGGGCCTTCACACTGAGCTACATCCCCAGTCCTTTTATCAAGCAACAACAACAACAAAAAAAAAAGGTTAGGGATTTTCTGTTTGTTTGTTTTTGAGAGAGAGTTTTGCTAAATTACTTAGTCTAAGTCTGAGATGGATCTTGCAATCCTCTTGCCTCAGCCTCCCAGAGTTCTGGGATTACAGATGTGTGGTACTACCCCCAGCTTCAACTTTCTTTTCTAAGTAATTATGTACAGAGATCAACAAGTACAAAAATCAAGTAACTTATAATAAAGACATATTTCCTCACTTACCTGGCAACATCTGCATTTAAAATAAACTACTGGGCCAAATGTGGAGGCACACACCTGTAATTCCAACACTGGGGAGGCTGAGACAGGAAGATCCTTGTGAGTTTAAGAACAGCCTGGGCTACAAAGTGAGCTCATGGCCAGCCTGAACTGCATAGTGAGACCCTGTCTCAAAAAGACAAAAATAAAAAATAAACTGCTGACCAGCATTCTGTTCTTATCAATACAGAGAAAATAGAATGATGCATATATCTTTCAATAGCTACCCCGCCCTGTGGTCAGAGGCTCCAGTCACAAATCACCCAAGATAAAGCTGAGCTGAGTTTAAAGACACAGCAGTTCTGTTCTTAGGGGCTGGGGAGATGGCTCAGTTGAATAAGTGCTTGCCTGGAAAGTGCAAGGGCAGGAGTTCAATTCCCAGCTCCGAAAAAAAAAAAAAAAAAAAAAGAAGAAGAAGAAAAAGTTCTGTTCTCCGCAGGTGTGTAAAGAAGACACTGTCTCTTCCATCTGTCCCTATGTTCACACCTCCTCACACCTGCAATGATAAGCTGGATAGGAAACAGAAACCACTAATAGTTAGATCAGCCAAGTTTCTACTTAGTAGTATTTGGGCAAAATGTTTATTATGGATTGTGTCTAGTTGCCCCCCCCCCCAGGCCTCATGCAGTCATGGGGGGCTTCTAGAGTTTGTGACTGATTATTGTGGGTGTGGATGCTGCACCTGCCCTGGGGCAAGAAATCTGCAGTACAATGTAAGGAGGGGAGAGAGGCTGGCTAGCTGCCTGAGCTGCTGCCACTCCTTTTGCTCTCTGCTCTTCGTCACTACCATGAATGGTTGCTCTCTGCTATGTGCTACTCTGCCTTGAAGCCAGCTGAGTATGTACTGAAATTTCCAGTAACTGTGAGCTAAATAAAAATTTCCTTGGGCTGGTGAGATGGTTCAGTGGTCTAAAGCACCTACTTAGAACAAGCTTAGCAAAGCAAGGGAACCGCGGTTCAATCCCCAGCACACACATGCCAGCCAGCCCCGCCCCCTGGTGGGCTGAGCTGGCCACACACACACACACACACACACACACA